GGCGCCGAGCCAGTGGCCTAGATTTTTATATTAGTTCCTTAGTTCTTGTATTTACTACTTCTAAGATGAGTGACTTTGGGCAAGCTATTTAATCTAATAGCCAACAAATGTTTATCAAGCAGCTGCCAAAGCCCTAAGAATCTCCAAATTGCTAGGGATAGAGCAATAACTTGGACAGATGCTGTCTAGAGGGGATGTGAGCACTGAGTCTATAAAGCCCTAAATATATACGAAGTTGCTGCTAGATGAAGACCTTGGGAGAGGTGTGTCCTTGCTAGGAGGACACAAAATAGGGTCTAGGTGTCACAGGTGGCTTCCTGGAGGAGGTGGGATCTGAGGACTTGCTATTTGAGCTAACAGCAGATGAAGGGTTTCTTGTCCCCTGTCCAAGAAAGCAGGGAGTGCTGTGTGGATGGTGGGGCCTTACCAGCAGGTTGGAGGAGTTAGGATATGGTTATTCCAAAGCAGGCTTCTCAGCAGGGAAGGGACATGATCCCAAGTGTGAAAGGGACTTAGCGGGTAGAGGCTGGTCTTGGCAGGAATAAGGCAAGAACAGCTCATTTCCTGTCATCCAGACAGTGATCATCGGCTCCTATATGATTGCCCATGGCTTCTTCAGTGTCTATGGCATGTGCGTGGACACCCTGTTCCTCTGCTTCTGTGAGTGAACCCTCACCCCAACCCTTGCAAGGCCCTGAGTCCCTTCTTCCCACTGGGCATACCATCTTGCCTCACTGGGGCCATGTGGTCACCTGCCCAGTGTCCCCAGCTTCTCTGGGGACTATCCCTTGTCCTGGGGCCCCAGCATGCCTTCTTGGCTTCTCCCCTACACTTGGAGCAGCTCCTTCTTCCCAGGCTGCATCTGGAACACTCTGCCAGTGGGCCCTTGGCTTTGGAGTTTTTAGCTTTTGTTGGGGAAAATCTGTGGCTGCCACTAACTCTGGTCTCTCCATCTGTTTCTTTGTTTTATTTCTTCTCATCTCTTCCTCTCCTCCATGCCTGCTGGCTTCCCTGTTCCTCCCCTGCCTCCTCCTTCCCCTCCTTTCCTCATCACCCCTATTTTCCCCCTGCCGGTTCCTGGGGGGAGCCCAGGTGAGGACCTGGAAAGGAATGACGGCTCTCAGGAGCGACCCTACTTCATGTCGCCCGAGCTGAGAGACATCCTATTGAAGGGGAGTGCGGAGGAGGGGAAGCGGGAGGAAGTTGAGGAGTAGAGAGTGATGGGGGCTGGCTTGGGGCCAGGTTTCCTCCCTGTAGACTGGGGATGCATGCAGGGGGCGCCTTCTTGCCTGGGAGTGTGGGGCTCATGTGTGTCATTTGGAGCCCACTGCAGTCTGGCCCTCTCTGGTCCTAGTGTGTCTTGCTTCCTAACCCTCTGAGGCTTCTCTCTGGCCCTCGTTCCCCCATCCCACCCCTGGAGGCTTCTGCCCATGGACTCTGCTCATGCCTACCACTCTGGGACCTCTCTCCGCAGTGGAGGATCTGGAGAGGAATGACGGCTCGGCCGAGAGGCCTTACTACATGTCTTCCACTCTCAAGAAGCTCTTGAACAAGACCAACAAGAAGCTTGCGGAATCCTAACAGCCCCCACCATCCTCCACCTCTAGGGGATCCTCACACCAGGTGCTCTGCAGCTGGGTCAATTCTCCCAGCTCCTGGGGTTTACCTGAAGTCCTGTCACTGCCGCTCTGCCCCCTTCCTCATTAACTAGTTTCTAGGGACCTGGAAAATTGGGAGCATCTCCTCCCTGTGCCAAAGGGCACTTGGAGTTTTCATAGTGCCCCCCTAAGACTGCAGAGTGAGTCTAGTCTCTCTAGCCCTCACTGGCCTGAATGGAGAAATCCAGTGGGATCTCTTGATGTCTGGGAAGCAATGTGGCCTGACCTCTGCAAGCTCCTTTATGCTTCCTGTCCCTCTCTTCATGGCAATGGGACAGACTACAGGAAGGACAGCATTTGTGTCTGAGTGAACTCTGGCTCTAAACTCTTCCATTTACTGCTGCCCGCCCCTGCCAGGACTGAACCCCTTCTCCATGGCTGAACAGTTAACTCAAGGGCCGCCAGAAGCATTTCTTATTATTTTTTTAACCTGGGCGTGCACTAAAGGGTCTATTAGCTTTTTTTCCATCTGTCTCAACAGCTGAGATGGGGTCACCAAGGAGTGCCTTCCTTTGCCCACTCCCTGCCAGGCGTGGCTGGGGTGAAATCTTATGTGCCCAGGTGGGGGTATCTTCTGGTTGGGGGCAGGGTGTTGACGGGAGGAGAGGGAGGGAAGGAGACTGTTAGAGGACTGCAGGGGAGCACGCCTGGGTGGCCAGGGTGGAGGAGACAACTAATAGCTGCTTAATGGAAACCTCCTGGCTGCGTGGCTAGGTTGGGCTGGATTTCCCCACTTCCTCTACCAGTTAGGACATAGCTCTCTTTGTAAGAGAGGAAAGAAACCCAAGGGATGATTTCAGGAGGAAAGCTGGGGGGCTGGATGCCCCAGGCAAACCAGGCTCCTCTACCCACATACCTCACCTTGAGGACCCTTTTGCCAAACTTGTGAACTCTGGGAACCTGGTTTCCTGGTTCCCCCTTTGCCATATTCCAAACGCCCTGCCCCTTCCCCCACCATCATGTCTCTGCTCATCAGCACTGTCCCAGGATCCTGGAGAGGAAGTATCCCCAGCCTAGGGTCTCCTGTGTCCTGTGCCTGCCCTGCCTGCCATCCTGTCTGCACACCCCTGCGTGTAACTGCATTCCAACCACGAATAAAGTGCCTATTGTACAGGTCCATGTCTGGCGTGTTTGTAGCAGGGAGTGAGCAGCTGAGGGGGAACCCCAGCTTCCGGTGCCCTGAGAGTGAGCTGGAGTGGATTTTCCCCAAAGGAAGAAGACAGCAGGGAAATACTCCTACCCATCCCCAACCCGTCTGGGGGCTGCAGTTTCCATCTAAATTCCAGCATTCGGGCATCTCATGTTTCTCCTGAAGATTTCTGATGAACAAATACTCCTGATTAGACTCCGATGCCTGGAATCCAGAAGGCAGATGGTCCATGGACATATGCCCCCAGACCTGCACTCCTCCCAGAGCCTGGGCATCTGAGGCCCTGTCTCTTCAGGGCTGGCCCAAGGCCTGGCAGCTCGCTGCTGCCCCCTAGTGCCAACTGTCTAACTGCCTTTCCTGGCTCACCCAACCCCTCTTGGAATATTTTCTTAAATTAAAGCCATCATTTTGGGCTGAGTGTAGTGGTGGTTGACCCCTGTAATCCTAGCACTCTGGGAAGCCAAGGGAGGTTGATTGCCTGAGCTCAGGAATTCTAGACCACCCTGAGCAAAAGTGAGACCCCATCTCTAAAAAAAACTCCAAAAAACCCAGGTGTTATGGTGCCTACAGTCCCAGCTATTTGGGATGCGAAGGCAAGAGAATCACTTGAGCCCAAGAGTTTGAAGTTGCTGCAAGCTTATGATGCCACCGTATTCAACCCCAGGGTGACAGGTTTTGAGACTCTACCTCAAAAATAAATAAATAAATAAGAGGACTGGGCACAGTGGCTCACGCCTGTAATCCTAGCACTCTGGGAGGCTGATGCAGGTGGATTGCCGGAGCTCACAGGTTTGAGACCAGCCTAAGCCAGAATGAGACCTCGTTTCTAAAAACAGCTGGGTGCTCTGGCAGGTGCCTGTAGTCCCAGCTACATGGGAGGCTGAAGCAAGAAAATTGCTTAAGCCCAGGAATTTGAGGTTGCTGTGAGCTATGATGCCACTGGGCTCTACCAAGGGTGACAAACTGAGACTCTGTTTAAAAAAAAAAAAAAAAAAAAACAGGGAAAGTGCCAGTGCACTCTACCCTGGGTGACAGAGAGACCACATGTCAAAAAGTAAAGTCACCACTTCTCGAGTACTTTCTCTTTGCTGTGAAGAATACCCCACTTTGGCTTGGCGCCCATGCACAGTGGTTACAGAGCCAGCCACATACATTGAGGCTGGCAGGTTCAAACCTGGCCTGGGCCAGCTAAACAATGACATCTGCAACAAAAAATAGCCAGGCGTTGTGGCAGGTAGTCTCAGCTACTTGGGAGGCTGAGACAAGAGAATTGCTTAAGCCCACGAGTTTGAGGTTGTTGTGAGCTGTGATGCCACGGTCTTCTACCAAGGGTGACATAGTGAGACTCTTGTCTCAAAAAAAAAAAAAGAAAAAGAAAAAGGAACAAGACAGGTAGGACACAGAAAGTGTAGGGAGGAGTGAGGGAAGGCCCAAAATGCCTGTAGCAGATGACAAGAAGCATGAAGGAAGGCAGGATGACTTCAGGTTGGAGGGTGCTGGCAGGAGAGAGGTAGAATAAAAGATGGGATACTCTACTGGGCTCCCTATCTGGATTAGAGGTTGGCTGGATTAGCAAAGAGACCCAAATCTGGATGTGAGGAAGAGCCTCTGGGAGAGGAGATAGTGGCCTGGACTGGGACAGTGACCTTGGGTCCCTCTCCCTGAAATTCCAAACCTGGAGGTACCTTGCTGCTGTGTATCAGGCATTTCAAAAGCAGAGCAGTCAGCTCTGGTCCCATCCCAGCCTAACCCTCCCTGCCATAGAGGGTGGTAGCTATATCTTCCCAAGTGCCCCACAGACTCCTCTCTTTCTCTGACCCCATAGCCAATGGCCTGCAAGTCCCATCAACTCGACCTTCAAAATGACATTTCAGCTCTGCTGGACCTCTCTTTCTCCACTTGGAGAATTACACTAATAATCACTTCTGGCTTTCCCCAGCCTCACTGGTTGCCAGATTGCCTGGAAATACCAATGGTTCCTACCCTTCCTTTGTTCAAATGAAACCTTCTCCAGCTTCCAGAGCAAAAGCCCTTGTCCACACACAGGCCTAGGATGCCCTACAGAACTCACCAGGCCTTTCCTGGAGGCCTCTTTCCCCTCTTCCCCCTCTCTGCCCTGCTCTCCAAGCCTCAGTACTTTGCTCTTGGCTGAGCCCTTTTCCTGAAATGCTGTTCGCTCTGTCCCTTAAAGGACTCACCTGTGCATCACCCTACTTAAAACTAGCACCTGCCCCCAGCCCTGCACTCCTGGCTTTACTTTTGTCCCTTGCACTTGCCACTTATCTAACAGATGAGACTTTGATTTGGGGGCCCTGGGGGAGCTCCATCAGGGCTGAGCCATCTAATAGTCTTTGAAGCCAGCTCCTCATGTTGCTCTCCCATCACCACCATCCTCGGGTAGACTGAGTTATCAGAAGACTCTACTCTAGCCCATTTCTGCCCAGGCTGGCCAGCGCTCATTTCTGTGGTTTGCAATTGACTCTGAGTGGTGCAGATCCAGAAGGAGTGGAAAGATGAGGTTGGGCCAGGAGGCGGGGGAACCCAGCAGAGCCAGAGAGGAGGCCTGCAGGCACAGGTGAGTGAGGCAGTGACAAGCCCACAAAATCTCAAAGTAGTCCAAGCAAGTGATAGACACAAAGAGACCATGCCAGATGCTTCTGTTTCTATAATGTTTTACAACAGGTCATACATTCATCCAGGTGATGTAAGGAGAGGGCTGGGGACTGGCTATGAAGGGCAGCAGGGAGCTTCCCAGAGTGGTAAGAATATCCTTTATCTTGACTGGGGTGATGGTACATGATGTAGAAATTCCAAGGCCGGACAAAGTGGCTCATGCCTGTAATACTAGCACTTGGGAGGCAGAGGTGGGTAGATTGCCTGAGCTCACAAGTTCAAGACCAGCCTGAGCAAGAGCAAGACCCCATCTCTATTTCTTTCCTTTTTCTTTTTTTTTTTTTGAGACAGAGCCTCAAGCTGTCACTCTGGGTAGAGTGCTGTAGCATCACAGCTCACAGCAACCTCCAATTCCTGGGCTCAAGTGATTCTCCTGCCTCTGTCTCCCAAGTAGCTGGGACTACAGACACTCGCCACAATGCCCAGCTATTTCTGGTTGCAGCCATCACTGTTGTTTGGCATGCCCAGGCTGGATTGGAACCCACCAGCTCAGATGTATGTGGCTGGCACCTTAGCTGCTTGAGCTATAGGCACCAAACCAAGACCCCATTTCTAAAAAATAGCCAGGCGCTGTGGCAGGGCCTGTAGTCTCAGCTACTTGGGAGGCTGAGGCAAGAGGATAGATTGAACCGAAGAGTATGAGGTTGCTGTGAGCTAAGAAACCACAGCACTTTACCAAAGACAACCAAGTGAGGCTCTGTCTCAAAAAAAAAAAAAAAAAAAGAATTTCTTTCTTTCCCCTTCTCCTCTCAGATTCAAGCCATACTCTTGCCTCAGCCTCCCAAGTAGCTAGGACTACAGGCACCTGCCATGATGTCCAGCGAGTTTTTTCCTTTTTTTTTTGAGACAGAGTCTCAAGCTGTCACCCTGGGTAGAAGGCCAGGGTGTCAAAGGTCACAGCACCCTCTAACTCTTAGGTTCAAGCTATCCTCTTGCCTCAGTTTTTCTATTTTTAGTTGAGACAGGGTCTATCTCTTACTCAGGCTGGTGTTGAACTCCTGAGCTTAGACAATCCACCTGGTTGGCTTCCCAGAGTACTAGGATTATAGATGTGAGCCAACATGCCCTGTCCTCTTTTTCTTTTTCTTTTTTTTTGATACAGAGTCTTACTATGTCACCCTTGGTAGAGTGCTGTGGCATCACAGCTCACAGCAACCTCTAAATCTTGGGCTTAAGTGGTTCTCTTGCCTCAACCTCCCAAGTAGCTGGGACTACATGTGCCTGCCACAGTGCCCAGCTATTTTTTTTTTATTGCAGTTGTCGTTGTTTAGCTGACCCAGGCTGGGTTCAAACCTGCCAGCCTCGGTGCATGTGGCTGACACCATAACCACTATGCAACAGGTGCTGAGCCCCTGCCCTCTTCTTTCATTTTAACTTCAAAGACAGGGTTGGTCTTGCTTTATTGCTCAGGCTTGGAGTGTAGTAGCTCACTGAACCCTCAAACTCCTGCCCTCCAGTGATCTTCCTGGCTCAGCCTCCCAAGTAGCTGGGACTACAGGCGCCCACAACCACACCTGGATAATCTTTAATATTTATTTATTTATTTATTTGCAGTTTTGGGATGGGGCTGGGTTTGAACCCACCACCTCCAGCATATGGGGCCAGTGCCCTACTCCTTTAAGCCACAGGCACCACTCAATCTTTAATTTTTTGTAGGGTCTCACTTTGGCATTTGGGCTGGTCTCAACTCCTGATCTCAAGCTATTCTCCCACCTCAGCCTCCCAATGTGCTGGAATTATAGGCAGAAATTACATTTAATTTTTTTTTGTAGTTTTTGGCTGGGGCTGGGTTTGAACCCGCCACCTCAAGCATATAGGGCGGGCGCCCTACTCCTTGAGCCACAGGCGCCACCCTACATTTAATTTTTGTCTTTTTTTTGGAGACAGAGTCTCACTATGTTGCCCTCAGTAGAGTGTGTGGTGTCACAGCTCACAGCAACCTCTAAATCTTGGGCTTAAGCAATTCTCTTGCCTCAGCCTCTCAAGTAGCTGGGACTACAGGTGCCTGCCACAATGCCCGGCTATTTTTGTTGTTGTTGTTGTTTCAGTTGTTTAGCTGGCCCAGCTGGGTTCAAACCCACCACCCTCAGTGTATGTGGCTGGCTCTGTAACCACTGCGCTATGAGAACCAATTCTACTTTTTGTCTTTTGAAAGATGAATTAAGGAAAAAGGGGAGGTCTCTTTTGGCTCAGCTATCTGTGATCCTGGACTGACTTAGGCACAGTGGGACAGTGGGTGTGGATGTGGTCAATGACTAATATGACTAATTCACTCCACTTTGATCACTCTAAAC